AGATGACCAAAAAAAATTTTAGTTTGGGGTCTTGTCTCTCATCACCACTTCAAAATACATTAGCAAACATTTTTGTAAGATTTATTTTCAACATACACAGAAATACAATAAATGTTTCATTCGGACTAACAATGTATAATTATAGCATTCTAAAACATTACCAAACGTCATTTTCTGTCCTCTTTTAACCAAGAACAACCAAATCAGCACTTTTAAATTTTGACCTGTGATCATGGGCTAACTTCTTTGGGAAAAGTTTAAAATGGCTGCCAGCGACAGCTCAAAATCGTGGTACTTATATTCTGTGATATAAGCCTAAGGTGAAAGGTCATTTTCCAGGTCGTGTAAACTGCACACACGCCTTCAGTTGCGTTCATAAGGCTTTTGCCTTGCCACTCTTGTATTCTTCATACCATTAGAGAGCTTTAGATTCTAAGATGAGAACAACTATAAGAACGAGATTTTCCCAATAATAAGTAGTGCACGCGCACGAACTAACGTCATGTTGGCGGGAAAACATGGTAGCCGTCGTCAATCTACTACGAGTTTTAGCGAGAATGTCGTGGTGGCGAAAACAAGTTATCAAATGTTAGTAATTTTATCATTCAGCGATTGCGAGAGGGCTTTACCTCCTTCAACGGAATACGCGAACTGACTTTTGTGGTGAAAAAAAGTACAAAGATGCTTTCCGGGGTGTCTATTTTAAGAGAATAGGCCAGAAAACTTAAAATTAAATGTCGTCCTCGTCCCCGAATCTAAAGCTCTCTATCAACGAAGTATGGAAGACGATTGCAGTTTCTCTCAGTTTCTGGTTCAACCGCGCAAATCATTTCAGGTCTATTTTCCAGTGCTAGAGAGGCTGCTAGAATCACCCTGGACATCGCTAACCTTAGGCGAGTCTGCTAATGATCCACTAGACGCAGAAGATATCTGACAACAGACAGAGAACAATGTAAACGTTACTGTACTGCAGGGACGATAAGAACGTAATTGCTTGGAAAGCAACATGGCAAAAAAACATTTGACACTTTTTGAATTTTAATGGAATATCATCCTATCAGCTAATTAAGTACAAGTTTCACACATCCCTGACGGTTTCAACGTTCAATATTCGGAGCATTTAATGGCAAACACGAGACGCAGTGCTTCATCACATATCAAACACAAAGGAGATAGTAGGAAATACAACGCGTAGCAGAATTTTTTTGTACTTGATATCAACCAATTGCAGGTTAACCGAAAGATGGAGTCACGGTTGTGTTGAATTGAACTATAGCACTGGCTTGGCTGACGAATTTTGACTGATTTTTCTTTTCTGATCTTAGATACAGTCCTTTGGAATTTAACCCCAGAAAATTCGCCAACATTTGTCAAATTGAACGAGATGGAGTGAGAGCGAAGTTTGAAGTCACCGTTCGTGTGACGTTTTCGTTGCCGTCTCTGTCGTCTATGCTAAAGTTCCCTGATAAAAATTTCCAAAATAGTCCCATAAAGCAACTCGACACAACACAAAGCCAGCTTCACGCACAACGTTCAAATGGCCGTGATGAAACACTGTTTCGAGTGTTTGATGTAACTTCTAACAAAAGACGATTTTCAAGGATCTGCAAGAAAATGAAGAATTTTCCATCGGAGATCCTGATGCATAGCGATTGTCTTTGGCTTTTTTAATTTTTAGTAATGAGTTTAGAAATACCGATCGATTCTTCATGTCTTATCTTATGTCAGACTCAGTCAGACAATTCTAGGTGGTTACCTTAAGAAAAAGTCCATTTAGTGGGAGTGTTGCCTGCAGTTGGATTATAATAGACCTTACACGCGATACCTGCCCTCTTTTCCTGTGCTTTAGGATAGATAAGACAAAAGCAATGTATACAGACGTTTGTATGATGGGGGGGGGGGCAAGTTTGTGCCCCCCACCATACAAACGTCCGTAAAATTTTTCCGGGGGGGACTCCGCATATGAAAGGGGTGGGGATGCTTGTCGGAAATTTTAAATTAAACCCCTAAAGGAGACCGATCTGGAAGGGGCCCAAGCTTTTTTTGACCCCTGAAAGAGACCATGATAAAACACAGAAAATATATATTTTTCGCGTGCAATCCTAATCGAGACCCTCACGGCTAAATATGATGGCGTTTTGCCCAGCACACGCTAAGTGAGACCAACATCCGAAATTTATACCCCTAAGCGAGACGACGAGCATCCCCACCCCTTTCATATGGGGAGTCCCTCCCCGGGAAAATTTTGCGACCTTAAGGAGTTATATCTTCGTTAGTTTTCAACAAATCACTTTCTTGCCTGTTCACAGACCCTCCATTTTCGCTTCAAAGTCCGTCGAGCGCGGCAGGTGATAAAATATAAACCGCAGGGAAGTTATTGACCGTCAGTGCGCGGACTCGCTTCGCTCGCAAGCTCGCCGATGTTTTCAACAAGAACAAAAACGAAAAATAAAACAACGTCTGTGTAAAGGCTAATAACTTTCAAACTGGGCCATCATACTATTCTTAAGCCACCTTTTTCAGTGGTGTCGACTGATTTTCCCTAACTTGTCCATGTAAAAAGTTGAAAAAAGAAAAGGTCTATTGCCATTATAGTTCTTCATTTTCTGTTGTCTACAATAAACAAACTCGACCCCGATTTCTTGTATTGGCAGATTTGATCGTTTGTTTGTCCCCTGAGAAACCACGTGACATTGCTTTTATCCCATCAGCCCTTAAGCCCCTAAAAGATGGCGCCATAGCACTTATTCCAGACAAGTCTTGACAGCGTATAACGTTTTATTTATTTATTTGTTATTTATTTACAGATAATTAAATGGCATCTACTGTAGTCACGTAACTGAGGTGATCGACTCCTACTTAGTAGCAGTTTTTCAGCCGCGCCAAGGCGCACACTTGTTGTCGACCCAGTCTCTTCGCTACCTGATAAGGGACCTTGAAAAGAAACGAAGTCAATGGTGAACCAGAATTTAAAGCAACTTCTTCTCGTCACACAGAGGTTTTGTTAATTTCGAAGAGAGAGAGAGAAACGAGAGAAGAAAACTTCTTTCAAGTTGTACGATAATACCCTTTTATAAAATGTCACTGGTAACATCAAGGTCCCGCCATTTGATATGAGAATCTTTTGTTATCGTACATTGGTTCACTATCGTGGCGTATTTCTAGGTACAGACTCGTTCTGCTGTGAATGTTGCCTTTGGTAACAGCATTTCAACAGAGCACATGTAAAAATGATGCATGCGTAATGGAGCGTTTTCTGTCACTTGGCCAGCGTTTATGCAAATCTACATTAGGAAAGAGTTTAGACTACGAGTAGTCCCCATTCTTCCTCAGGGATAGTAGGCCGAGCGAAACACGAGCGAGCGTGAAAAACACCCTGCGCGAGAAAGGCGAGACGCGGCGGGTCTCGTCTTTCTCGCGTGGGGTGATTTTCACGCGCGCTTGTGTTTTCAGGATTTGTTTAGAAACCAACATGGCCGCCATTTCGTTGTTTTGGAACACCAGTATGGCCATCATGACGTCATGTGAAAACGCTCTGTATGCACAAAACGCGAAGCTCATTTATACGAGACTTTCTTCGTCTTAGCAAAGACTCGTCTAACTCAAGAGCAGGTGTCCTTCTTAGACGGAACACGTCTTAGTTAAGTCACGCCATATTTCATATTTCGCATTTTGTGTGAAAAAACGTCTTGCTGAGGGCGTGTCTTATTTTGCCTAATACAAATGGCCCTAATAAAGCCTTTTCTTAGTCGTCTCAATTAATTAGGTACATTCATGAGCGCTCTAATGATACGTGCAATAACTGAATCAAATCAATCCAAAAAAATGGTTGTCTGTTATCACCAATTTCAGGAAGACTTAGACCCTGTTTACATGGAGTGGGGGACCCCGATTTAGTGGGGTAGGTTTCTTTTGTTTTGTGTCCCCGTCCCCAAGAGCGTGAAAACAAAAGAAACCAACCCCACTAGACCGGGGTCCCCCACTCCATGTAAAGAGACCCTTAGTATCATAATGCAACTCTTGCCAGGATCCTCATGTAAATTCTTAAGACTGCTCTCCAGCATTTCCTCAAAAAAATACTTAGGAGAATCTGATAAAAGATCAAAGCATTTTTTTTCCTTTTGCGGACATTGCATTGGTTCTCAGTTCCTTTTCTCTTAAAGATGTATTGATATTGTTTGAAGAAAATAGATGTTGGTCATTCTTGGGACTTAAGGCCTGTTTACATGAAGGTGGGGGACCTCAGGTAGGTGAGGTAGCCTGCTATAGGTGGGGTTATCCTCCTGTCTGTATAATTCCACACTTTAATTTGATCACGTCTACATGATAGGTGGGGTGAGTAGTCACATGTTACCTCACCTACCTGGGGTCCCCCATCTCCATGTAAACGGGCCCTTCAAGGGTTAATACCGAACACAACGTACACAAGCACAGCATTTTCTCACTCAAAGGAAGGATAAAATAATTGTGGTCTTTTTTATTAAGAACTTTAAAAAACAAACAGCAAAAATTATGAATGGAAGTAAATGAAATGACTCATATTTTGAACTGCGAACGAATAGAGATATGAATTCAAAGTGGAAATGATCCACCCAGTTGGATAAAACTGAAACCTAAACGGTTGAAAAACAACCAGAATAAATTCAGGCTTGATCGGGATCTAACCCTGACCTTTCAAGACCTAGTCAAGCCAACTGGAGAACAAGCCATTGTAAGTTCCTAATATACCCGATGGTGGAAATGACATGAATGGAAATATTTATTTATATATTACATTTCCTTAAAAACTGGAAAAAAACTACTCTTGCCGATATATTATTAAAATATATTTATAATTCCATTCATATATTATATGAATGGAATGGCTCGATGGATAGAGCATTGTGTCCGGTCATCGCAAAGGTCAGGGTTCTTTTTCAACCGCTTAGGTTGTTTATTCAACTGTGGGGATCATTTCCACTACCTTAAAAACAACTATGATAATGTCGATTAACAGCATTTCAAAAGGACTTACTTTTATAGCCTGTGACCTCTGGAAAAACATTGTCCTCTTCTTCCATCTCAGGGAGTACAGCGTCCCTACCTAACGTTCCCGCAGAAGGCAAGGTGCTTGATCGTGACAGCACATACCATGGTTTTCCATCTGAGCCCCTCGTCCAACGTGACCCTGATAGGATTCCAGCAGGCCCATTAGCACTGGAAAATTCAGCGCTTGGTTCTTTAGGGGCGTGCGAATGTGCAACATCCAGGGGCCCTTTTGACATCACGGATAATGGACCACTTCTGGCTCCGGCCCTGAGGGATTTATCGTCAGATTCGTCACTCGTAGATGTCAACCTCGTCATCATTTCCGTCAACTCTGACAAAGAAGACAACGTTGAGCCTGCGCTACCTAGGAAATGTCGACCAGCAGTGTTACGTGGAAGCGATAAGTACTCTGTACTGGACCCGTAGCTCCATCCGCTTGTAGATCCAGGCTTCGAAGTATAGCTCGCTGAAGTGACCGCGATTGAACTGCTATTTGTGGTCAGTGTCTTTTCTAATGTGTTCAGTCTCTGAGAAATGTCCCGTAATCTGTCTTGTCCTCTTATCCCTACAGAATTTGCGATTAAGCCTTGATTTTCTTTGTTTTGGTCCAAACCAAGCACCCCTGCGTCATCACCCCGCAGGTTTGATAAAAATGGCGAGCTTAAATGGGGCTCTGACTGTGGAGCATTTGTGCTTGATATCACTGGGGCCTTATATGTTTGAGATCCTGGACTTTCGTAGGAGGAGCTCTTAAACTTGTCACTGTATCGCCGGATTCGTTTTCTTTGGGCTTCAAAAAGCTGGCGTTCCTCCTCTATTTTTTGCTTATAGTAGTCCAAATATCCGGTGGAATAAACCGGACTGGCCAGCTGAGAAGCAGAGGAATGTGAAACTGCTGTCGCTTCTCCTGATAGACTTGTAGGTGCAAACGTTAATGGATTAACCCGAGAAGGCTCTGTTACTGCTCGAATGCTAGATACTGAAGAAGGCGTAACAACTGAGAAACGAGTTTGAACGTCGGATCCCGAAGTCAGGACAGGGAAAGAGCGAATGTTTGACGAAGGCTCTCGAGAAAGCCCGAGATACTGTGAAGTCTTCGTAAGCAATGATGTTGTAGCTGTAACGCTGGCTGTGTCACCAACGTTAGGGAAAGGAATTCTACGTGGCTGAGAACTTGAATGAAGAGCATGATCAGAGAAACGAGATGTCACAGTGTGTGACGCAGCAGCTGTCACGCTAAGGTCAGAGGACAATGTGACGCTTAATGAAAGAGTGGAAGGAGTTGATATGTTGACAAGCTCCTGGGATTGAAGAGTCGGAGTGCTTCTAGGGGAAGCGTCCCTCTCTGAATGGGTGTGGCTGCTCAATGGCACATCTTCCAGTGCTGCTCGACTGAGCTCCTGCAAGACGTCCCTCTCCCTTTGACGCATTTCAGCTGCCCTGTCTGCAGTAGCTCGGGCCGCCGCCAGTGTCCTTTCAAATTCTGAGGGAAGAGCAGCTTCCGTTTCATTCGATGTTGCACTGCTGAGGGTTGATGACTCAAGAACGTCCGACATCAGTGGGGACCCCTCGTGTGATGTGATGGTAGGGACCACAGTCGGCAGTGCCTGAGAGGTCTGTCCACTTCTTGTTCCCTGAGAAAAAATCAACCAAATTCGCCAATAATTTAGGGAACCAATTATCACTTCAGGAACCACAAGCTAGTCATCACAACCCATGCTTCTTTCAGGATTTCAGACTGAGATCTTTCTTGTTCCTAGTTTCTCTCAGTTTGGGATGGCTGCTTTGCTCTGTCTTTACTACAATAGATCCCCCATTCGAGGAACTTGGACAAAAGTCCCCAGAATATAGGTGACCCTTTAACAGACGTAACTGATACAAAGACTATATTGTGGAACCTCCATTCAGGGGACACCGACGGGTCCAGGACAAGTGTCTCCTAAATAGAGAGATCCCTTCAATAGAGATAACTAGTACGCTTTCCATTTGTCAGAACTGACCGGCCAGACCATTCCCGTTGCAATGATAATCTCCCTTTTAATCAAAACTATCTAGCCAGATCAGTCAAATCCTAAATAGTGGGGACCTTAAGATTCAAGGACGGTGAGGGCAGCGAAAACGTCGCTGAAAAAGTGAATTCGTGTTCTTTCAGTCTTCATCCCAGTTACTCCAAGTCACTAATGTAGGTGAACCCTCCTAAAGTCGGTTGAATTCCAAAGAACCATATTCAAATTCAGAAAGAGAGAGGAAATTTCGTCGTCGCTTGTGTTCTTCTTCTGTAACACGTGAAATTAGGCATTTTCACGTCATAGTCGTGCAGCGACGGCAAAGATTGTACAAAAAAGCGTGATGCACGCGCAAAATTGTTGTTTTGGTTATTAAACCTATTGCTTTTTTGACGTTCTCGTTGCTGTTGCCGTCGTCGGATCTTAAGGTCCCTAATATGCACGAAGGAAATGGGATTTTTAGCAAAAACTCTTGGAAAAAGCCTGTTTCATTTTCAAACAGACTGGTCCGGCCATGGTCCGGCCGGCCAGTTCTGACAAATGGAAAGCGCCCTCAGATGAACAACGTTGGGGAGCAAAGTTTGTGTCCCTTGAATGGAGGAACAAGCTTGACTGGTTTCAAGACTGAAAAGAGACTGCTTTCATTTTAAACGCGTCTAGCGATCATTATCGCGATTATCGCTTAGGTGCTGTTGCCATATCATAGCAACGACTGCAACAACATCAAGGAAACAACGCTTCACTTACAAAGTCCTCAAGAGACGCAACTCCTTCATAAGGGGCTCCACTAGGAAATGGTTCCTCCAGGGGCATATGCTCATCAGGGGCCCGGAGAGTCCGTGACGGTAAGGGTCCTGCTGGTGCCCCAGTTGTTCCATATATATCAGCTAGCTGCCGTTGATAGTCCTGAATTTGTTGTTCCAGTTGTTGCTGCAGGAGGGTTTGCTGCTGCAGTTTTAACTTGAGTTTTTGTTGCTCAAGAAGCGCCTCCTGATGGGTAACCTGTGAACAAATTTATCGAATAAACAAACAAGCCTTTCACATGCTTTGTGACACATCTATTGGCAAAGTTTGTCTATAATCTAGAATGATGTTTAAGATCGCATTAAGTAAGACCTTTTTGTACAAGCTTTTGCCGTTCTGAGGTCTCCTCACCACTCACTGTTTTGACCATCCTATATCACCTATTTAATGATAACTATAACAAAATTCTCAAATCTGATTGGCTATCAACCTTCCTGATTTCAGAACTAATAGGGCAGTACGCGTCATGCCTAAGTACGTGCCATTACATGCACGCGCATGCTCAAATGGCTTTATTTTTTCACTGCTAGCAAGAAAACTCTCGGAATTTCTTGTGTTTTAAGGTACGGAAAAACGGGCAACAAAAAATCTGCAACTTGTCTTGCAACATTGCTGCAAAACGAGTTGAATAGCGATGTTGCGCGTTTTACCACCCACATCAAACCTGTTAACAACCTGATTTGTTGTAAGACAGGTTTGATGTGAGTGGTAAAACGCGCAACATTGCTATTCAACTCCATTTGCAGCAATGTTGCAAGACAAGTTGCACGTTTCTTGTTGTCCGTTTCAAAGTTTCCGTACCTTTAACTAGAAAAAAAAACTAAAATATCACAAATTTTGTTATAGTTATAATTATTATAAGTGACAGAACTTCGTGTCGTCCAATTTAAACAAATCAGCCTCCAGCTACGCAGTTGTCCAATTTTGTTTATCACTCGTATGATTACAGACCGAATTGGAATCCACTCAGTCCTGTTACCATTATTTGTGAAAGTGTTTGTAATTATGGTACTATGAATTTTATCTCATCCGCACGTCATGCTGTGATCCTACTTACGAAGTGGTGGAGTAAATAAATTAATAAATAAGATAAAATAAATTAGGAGGATCGATGAGAAATCATTCCTTTCAAAACTAACAACTTGCGGAAACCTGCTCAAACGGTGACATATCTCACCCTCCCCTCCCCTCTCTAAGAGATACATACTGCTCTTTCCGAGGGCGTAGTAGTGCGCGACCTCTGGGCAGCTTCCAGGGGATGGAGAAGCGTCCTAATGCCGTCCATAGGCGGGTGGGGTGCGTCACTGACGACAGGTCCGAGCATGTCCTCAGGGCGTGGTTCATCTGCCGCATCGACAGCATGCTCTCTGCCATCTGCTTCCTCGCCAGATAATTCCGCTTCTGCCAGGCTTTCAGGAGAGGTGGAGAAAGGAATGGTTTCTGGAACTCTTTTGCAAATGTAAGAAGGTAAAAGCAGGATTATTTTTAAAGGAGGTGGAAAATCGGGACTTGAGCTATTGACTGTGTAATTCAAGTTTGACCTTGTTTCTCGCAATGTCAGTAAACTAACAGCGAATCCATAAAACCAATTATAGAGGTTCAACAGCCACGTTATGATAAAAGAACCCTTTAATAGAAAACATTCATCTGAAAATATATGATCTACCTGTATCCTTGCTCTTCTGATGAAGGCTTTGTTGAAGGCAAAGTGCGAGGAATATCTGCAAGATGAAATAAAACTAATAATTTCCTTTTCCTCCTATAGGCAAGACTTAATAGATCATCTGAAAATAGGGTATGGAACAAAATAGTAGAAAAGTAGGACGCAAAGGACACAAACAAACGTGCTTGAAAAGCCGCAGCCCCCCTGCCCCACCCCCCGAGCATAATAGAAAATTTACGGGTACTTTAGTAAAGCTATGCAAATCGCACTCAAGTTTTAAATTTCTGAATTATCTGCTTGACACATCTAACATATCTGTAGGTTTCAGTAGGTTTTGCTAGGGAACGGGTTTGTATTGTGTCGAATTGTATCATTAGAATGTTTTGGGGACGCTATCCCATTTTCATTGGTTATTCAGCATTCAAAGGAAACTGATTGGGTCGTAAAAAACTGGTCAAATTAACAAAATAGTGGCGCTTTGTGATACAGAAATATATATACATATCTTTACATTTCGGAAGTATGTGATGACAAATAAAGTTTAATTCTGGCTATCAATCTGTTGGATATCACAAATACCTCTAAAGCGGACCTTAACGTACTTAGAACAGCTTCGAAAAAAGCTTTACTGTTTTTTTATTTATTTATTCTCATAAAAAATTCAACTAGTCATAGTAAAGAGGTAAAATTTCGAAACACAAAAAAAGTGCTTGTGATAAGGGGGATGGTCACATTCACGGGGTGTGGCTATGGCAGAGTCACTCTATACCCCTTTTAAATGAAATTCGCTCAAATAATTTACCTGTGGATGCAGCTGCTGTTGGTTGAGGTTCTTCTATCAGCTGTCTTCTTTTCCACTGGTAACGCTGCCTCTCAATCCTCTGTAGCAAACGTCTCAACGGATCTGCAGATCAAGAAATTTCAATGACAAGGTCAGCCCTCTGTCGCATCAGGCACTTCAAGTAGATAGGGTCAACGATGGTCACACCATCTAAGTGCCACCTCGTCTCAGGACTAGCTTAGTTAACTTCTACACCTTATTTTAAATCATGAAATATGCTGCTGGTTCACCATTAAACTGCTTTAAACTAGACAGGTTTATGCAATAACTAAAATTGATATTTGTGGCTCCAAAACACATAAACTAAACAAGGTATGATCCCAACATCGTTTTGATCTCCTTTTTCGTCCGCCCCGATGAAGAAATGATCCCTGGGTCATTCTTGGAATGACTACTGAAGCTAGGGATTTTAGAAGCTGCAAAATGAATTTACTAATCCCATTAGGGGACCATTCCAGGGCTGGGGATCATTTCGGGGGCTGGGATCATTTCGGGGGCTGGGATCATTCCAGGGCCTGTACAGATTACGACACACATGAGCTTGGATAAAATTTGGTCACGCAACTGGCAGACACCACATTATAAAACACTTGATGACCGGGTTATTTTCCAATTCACTCAAGGACAGTGTCATACCAAATTAAATAAAACAAGTCAGTTTTAACTGCCATGTCAAAATACCACAGCATGCTATCAGATTGTAACAATCCATTCAGAGTTTGAGAATCCTACTTTTTTAATACAGCGTTATACACCTATTTATACCTAGTACCTTCAGTCTGAGCTTTCGGGACATTGTCTCGAGGGAGCGCTTCTTCAGGCTCCTTTTCTGGTTCACTCCTATGCCCACCACTTTCTTGTCTCCTCCCTTGACGAACAGCAGATGGGGCCTGTTATTACAGTTAACTGAACTGTTACTCCTGAATTCATTATTATTTTTATTATTAATCTCCAAGGTGTAATGATTGATTTAGAAAGTTATGTGCGTGAAATGAGGGCCAGGAGCGTAACGTCCAAATACGCACATAAGCCCACGGTGCTACAGCTGATAATTTTATTTCCTGAAAGTATTTTTAACATTTTTATGATGGTAATATATGTGGTGGTTTGAACGTAGAAAATAGACATACCCCTCTAGCCTCGTCAGATTCCACAGACCTTCTATCAATATCTGAGGCTGCATTTTAAAAAAAAGAGCAATATTACTACATTGTCCGATTGGATTATTTGAACAATTTCTTACAAATGTGTACTTTAAGTCTTAAGTGGCTCAAAGGAATGCATGCAAAAAGAATCCTGACAAAGGGAGCCTTTTGAGCCTCTTGCATAACCCTACTGAAATACCATAAATCCTCTATCATACCCCTCCTGGGGGTGGGGGTAGGGGGTGGTATTTAATTTAGCAAAGATGATGGTATCAGTTCTGCCAAAAGAACTAGAATACGAAGTGGAAAAGCTCAAGTACAAGAAGTTGGAGGTCAAATTGCAGCCAAGGATCATTAACAAATCTGAGCTGCCAGTTGGGGAAAAAACCATCCTCAATCCATATGACGTTTTATAGTCGTGTTTGATTAATACAGTGAAGGGAAAAATAAAAAGAGGGAGGAGTGGCGGGAGGCTTAAAAGAGAGGAGGGCTTATTTGAGAAGAGGTTTAATAGCGGATTTACAGTACGTCTGAGCTCCCAGGCTTATGTACATTTTAGAAACAAACAAGTCGTTGTTGTTATCAAAGGTTTGAACCCATGAGTCATTACAAAAGTAGGTTGAGTTTGATTGTTCGGGAGAACGTAGTCCTGAATAGGACTGTTGTTGTTGACAGTGACTGACGTTTCGACAACCTGTGCGGTAGTCATCTTCAGAGTCAAAGTGAGTTGTATCCCGTCAGTTGATGGTATTATACTCTGGTTATAAATCTGATTGGTCAATTACATCGCGATGTTATTGGTCGTCTGTCAGTTAAGCCGTGATGTCATTGGCTATGAAGACTCTTAATCAGTAACTGTTATTATTGCAACTAACTAGAAGAAAACCAGTCTGACTAAACGATCATAATAACTACCTGAGGTAGCACTGTCTTCTGATACTGCTGTCATCAAATTCTCAGGGGGCTCAAGAGCAACAGTCAAATCACCTGTGTAACCTGCAGACAGAGAATTCATACACTCAGGAGGCTTTCCAAAAGTCAGTATGGAATTTCTGTTGCTGAGTTGCAGATGTTCCTCCTGGCGAAANAGTCAAATCACCTGTGTAACCTGCAGACAGAGAATTCATACACTCAGGAGGCTTTCCAAAAGTCAGTATGGAATTTCTGTTGCTGAGTTGCAGATGTTCCTCCTGGCGAAACGTCCCTGGTGGCGAGGAGCTAGGAGAAATGGCTGTACTCACAGGCTAATCACTAATGTGAACCACTAATGTATACAGTTGTACTTCACTGAAGCTTTATTAATAATATTGTTTAAGGACCAAGCAGAATAAAGGGACTAAAGGTCGATGTCCACCATTGCATTTTTTTTTACGTACCCACATAACTTTTATGCGCATAAATAAAATAGAGGCAATGTATCAAACGTAAACCTGATTGAACTTCAACTTTAACATGTATGCCTGACCTCTCATACATTTACTCTATTGTGTACAACTTATTTATACAGCTGTCCTTCACTGAAGCTTTATTAATAATATTGTTTAAGGACCAAGCACAATAAAGGGCTTAAAGGTCGATGTCCACCATTGCATTTTTTTTTTGCGTACCCACATCACTTTTATGTGTATAAATAAAATAGAAGCAATGTATCAAACGTAAACCTGATCGAGTTTCAACTTGTACGCCCAACCTCTCATACATTTCCTCTACTGACGAGTATACACAAGTAAAAATTACAAGACAGTGTGGAAATCCACCTCAAGTCTAACTTTTGGCTGCTTTTTACAAAAAAGTACCAAGGCTTAATGGATAGGTGCTGCTTATTCATTTGGATGTTTTAAATTTTTTTTTACCAATTCCAAGCCAAACTTATCATAGTCTATAATATTACAGTACGTATTTTATGCTACCAAATAATTTTGAAGATAACCAGATGGTCTTATTCAAAATAAATAAGTGAAGCCAAACACAGCCAAACAAAAAGCAAATTTACTGGGATCAAGTGAAAACTGAATTCTAACCTGTCTGCATCATATACATGTCTTCAAACGCTTGTTCTAAGTCTCTCTGTCGGTCTTCTGCATCTTCCAAACGTTTGTGAGGTGGCTGAAAGATGCGTACCTAACACAAGCAATCAATAACAAACTTTTATACTACCGCATGAGAAATTTCTGCAATTTGATTGGCTTAGAGCAGTGATATTTCAGCTTAATTTGAAATACAGTACATGTGAAAATTACAAACCTTGTGCGGGTAGTAGTATAAACATATACTAGCATGATTTGTACGTCAGATTTGGCATAAATACCACTTGTGATATTTCAAAATTGTTTCAAATTTCACTTGCCTAATATTTGGCTCGTGAAATTACGTATAATTCGAAATATCACTTGTGGTGTTTATGCCAAATATCACTACAAATCATGCTATTACCTATACAAATACTACTAACTGGCACAAAAATCAAGGTGGTTACAGGCTGAGTGTTTTTTTCTCTCAAATTTATGGCCCAAATGCAAAATGCACAACTATCTGAAGCCATAAATTCAAAGAAAATTTACAAGAGCTTAATCTGTACTTTAAAATAACTGCAACGTCTCAGCTCTAGTTGGTCAAGAGCTAAAGTCTATGAGAGTATAGACTACGCAGATAAATTTTATTGTTCTCTATTTGTTAAACCTACAGTTTGGAATTATGATTGTTGTTTAAAAAAGCTGTGTAGGAACACATGGGCCATAACAAGGACAAAGAATTTGAATGAGACCAGAATACAAAGCTTCCAGGAAAATAAGGAGATATTAAAGTAAACTTACAAATATTTATTAGAGTATAACTGCAGACAACTCCGCCAGGCTAGGCAACAAAGGAAATTGATATCATGTATCATTTACTTTTTTTTCATTCAAAAGAAAAGACTTTATACAAAAAAAACCAGTCAATTTTGCAAAAATTAATTCAAGATAAAAATCTTTCATTACTCTTTTTTTATTGCCAAAGAAAACTTTGCTTTGTTTAAATTGTAAATGTAAGCACTGACAAATGCTGCGAACCACTGAAGAGAATCTGCAAATGGAATATTTTCTATTGCTTGGGAAGTAAATTGTTTTCTTGAAATCCGTTTGAGTGACAAATATTGCAGTTCAAAATGCTGGTTTCTAAATACTCGAGCCTTGATTCTTAAACCTAGAATCTCTCGCAAACTCCATTCATTTGAGTTTCCGGACTCAAGAATTGATTTTCAAGGATTAAATTGAAACTATCAACTTACTTTTGAGCAGTACTGTAGGATAAAAAAATTTTATCTTGAATTTAATTTCAATCTGCAACATTAGACATCTTATAGAGGTGTCCATAATGAGAACATTGACTCAATCTGCAACATTAGACATCTTATAGATGTGTCCATAATGAGAACATTGACAGTACAGGATGTCTTAGAAAAGACACCTTGAGCTGAGAGGATGAGAAAAGAACCCTTACTGGGATTTTAGCAACAGCTTCTTGTCGTCTTTGACGGTCATGTCTTTCCAGTTGCCCAAGCTCTTCCATCAGTTTCTTGTGATCCTGTTTATAAGTTTGTTACAAAAATAAATAACTTAATTTTACACAATTATTTTAAACTATTGAATCATTTCAGAATAAGGTGGTAGAAGGCATGTGCAAGTTTCATTTTTTACCATAAGCATTCTTGTAGCTTCATAAATAAAACTATTTTGTAAACTAAAAGGCAATTTGGCAACCATAAAAGAAAACAAAAGTAGCTGTAAGCCAAGAGTAAAACTTTAAAGACACAGGTTACCCAAATTGTGCTGATAACAAAGATGGACAACAGGGTAACCAGCCACATAAAAAGGGTGAACTACAAAAAGCAGACTTAATGCACACTGTTGTAGAATATAATAAGTATCCTTCCAGGGTGCGAAGAAAATCAGTTTTACAGCTAATGCCATTCAGGCAAACTATAGCAAGCATAAACTAGCCCAAAATCCATTTCAACTAGCCCCAAAGCTTTTTGATGAGCAGGATTGATTACAAAGTTTTTATGTAATTTGAATTCCTCAAAAAAATTCACAGTTGCCCTTCAGTCGGGCAAGTTAAGAACAGAATTCACAAACCCGATAGCAAAATCCACTGGTCCAGGCAAGTTATCAGACACTACTTTCTTTGCACGCTGCCCTACTAGCAAAAAATGCCAAACACTAATAAAATTCTTACTTCCTCCAGTTGTAACATTTCCAATGCATGTTTGTGTCGCAGTCGAGCCTTCTCAGTTTGTTCCACTTTATTTCGTTGAGCATCCTGCAAACAGTCAATAGAATTGAGCTGAAATTCTATCTAAAATTACAAAAGTTCTGTTCATTTTGGTAAGATCCTCAAGGAAATTGTAAACACATGTACAATAACTATTATTTTTAGTATTTTTCAGAGTAAACAAGAAATAAATCCTAGAAGGTATTTGTGTTATTGGTGCTCACATTGTGGGTGGCTCCTTCTTAAATGTTCAATTGGTATAGGATTTAAATGGAGTCGAAACCAATTGCGGAATTGTACACATTTTCGGCACCCTACTCATGAACATTTACGATAAATATTAGACATTTCAAGCAACGACAATTTCCGTCTGTCCCCTTTGAACTAACCCAAAGCTGTCCTAATGATAATTATTATCATTGGAACACCTTCGAAATACATATGCGGTTTGGCACTGTATTCAACAATCAGTCTCACAAGGGCTTTGTATGCTCGTTCTTTGGATTTGGCTGAACAAGTGTAGAGATTGCAACGTAGAAAGTTCAGAGTCTTGTTTGCTCTGGTGGTAATGTCATTTACATGATTATTCTGGTGTAAATCATGCGAGAGGCTGATCCCTAAATATTTAGTAGTATCAACAGTTTCTAGGACCTTGCCATGAAGTTTGTACTGAAATTTGAAAGGTGTATGTCTTCGTGTTACTCGTACAATGTTGCACTTGCTTGGATTAAATTCCATACACCAGTCAGATTCCCATTTTTCCAACCTTCAAGAAGATCATCTTATAACTGTCGGCAATCGCTCTCAGATTTAATTGTAAGGTAAATGACAGTGTCATCAGCAAAAAGACAGAACCTTGACTTAACATAGGATGGGAGATCATTAATAAAAATAAGAAACATTAATGGCTCCAGCATTAATCCTTGGGGTACACCTGATGTTACTGGAACTGAATGCGAATGCTCTCCTTCTTGAACTACACTTTGTCTTCTTTTCTCAAGAAAACTTTCTACCACTGCAATGTAATGTCATCAACGCCACACTTAAACAATTTGTATAGCAAGCCATTGTGTGGAACCCTGTCAAATGCCTTGCTAAAGTCCATAACAATGACATCCGTTTGGTCTCCTCCCCGCATTTATTTTGTGAAATGCATTTATACTACGTCTTGTGATAAATCTTAGCTTGGAATGGCCTCAGAAAACTAGGGCCAGAGGCCATTTAAGTCTCAGAAACTTTACAAGCCCAAAGCCATAAAATTATTTTAGAATCAAATCTGAGAAATTGTAGTGCAGGTCTTAGCTCACAAATTAATCTTCTTCATTTTGTTAGTTGTTAATGTTTTGGTCTTACTAATTATTATAAATAATACAAGAATATAATTTATTATGACTTTAATGTTGAGGGTAAACACATTTACATGCAGCTTTCCAGGTCCAGTGATTAGTGGGATTTCCAAGAAAAAAGCCAGAAATACACCACAATCCCTTAAATTTTCATGTCAAGTAGCAGTACCCTATTTAGCTATCAAGCTCTACGGTGCTGTCCCAATTAGAATAAACCTGAATAAAAAATCACCATGGTTCTAAAGAATTTTTAACTTGCCATAAAGGATTTCTGAATAAAAGAGAAGCACAAACCTCTAAAAGCATTCGTAACCTTTCTTCCTCATCTAAAGCAACTTGCCCAGCATCTTTCTGCAATAAAATTAATAATAATAATAATAATTTGGAGGTAGCACATCCACAAAGTCGTTCTTCATCTACCCGATTCCTGATCTAATTGGAATTTCAAAATGTTGGTTTTTGAGGAGAAGGGAAAACTGGAGTCCCCAGAGAAAAACCTCTCAGAGCAAAGGAGAGAACCAACAACAAACTCAACCCACATATGGCATCGATGCGGGGATTTGAACCTGGGCCACACTGATGGGAGGCGAGCGCTCTCACTACTACGCCATCCCTTGCTCATTAATAATATTAAACTGCATGTACAGGTAAGCATTTGCAATCACATCAATCCCATTTACTACAGTGTATATTATGACTATGAATTAAATCAACTTGACATTACAATAAAAAAAATAAACATTGTCAAGCAAACTTGCCAAAACTTGGCTATTAAAACCAGGCTTTCAAAAGCTACAAGTCAGATTAAAATACCAGCTTTTTTACTACTACTGAGTGGCATTATCTTAAGAATATTGCAGGCCACTTTTCTCATGGCTTTTGCTTCTTTTGACATTCTCAATTTCATGGATCAAAAAATTGCGACATTGCTAAGTACACCATTCATAAACACTACCAACATTCTCCTCTTTCTCTCCATAATCTCAAATTCCAGTCATCAAATCCCTGGATCTCAAAAAACCAATTATAGACCCTTATTGAAGTTACCTGATTTGGATCCAAATCCCGCTCCACATGCACAGAGGGATGCAAATGGAACCGTGTGGTACTGAAGCTGTCGACATTCTGCTCACAAGTCTTCTGGCCTACTTAAGCACAAAACCATATGTCAGAGTAATCAATCACTATCAATATTAACAGTTACTAGTAGACTAAATTTCTTATGTTTAAAAAGAAACTTTTACTACAAACATCAGTCAAAAGAGTACATATTACAGTACATAGCACATTAAAGTTTGAACAGTACCTTTCCTCAGATAGAGGTCCTTTAAAGAGAAATAAAATGAGCAAAATATTATTAAATTGATAAAAAGATGAAGCAGAGCCACTGAAATATTATTTTGTCATCCTTATAATGGCATTTAGTAACTTTTTTAATACTGGATATTTTTTAAAATTTTTTGCCATTACTTGTCTTGATGCGCTCACAAATTGAGTTTGGGATGCCTGTGCACGTGTTCAAATGTGACTAAAGTTCCTGTAACTTTCTATCCTTAACCCTAACACCTTCAGTCACACATATAACTCCTGCATATGCAAGTAACTCTTTCAGTTTCAAGACTGACCAACATCAATTTTCCCTTAACAATATTAATACATTATCATGAAAAAAGTTATGAGAATTTATAAAATGATCACCTGAGTGAAAATGTTTCAATCTAAAAAAAAATTATCTCAAATAGTTTTTCAACGAAATGTATACAGGGTTGTCAAAAGTAGCTGGCTGTCGGCGAAAATTGTCACCTACTTGGTTAGTGACGGCCGGCTACTGTGCTTGGCATTTCTTTACGCATGGTGTTTTTCAAATAGAATATCCCTGGACTGGCCGCTTACTTTGACAACTCAGCCGTCTACTTCAAAACTTTCTGACAACCCTGGTATGGAAATGAGTATGGAGAATTTGTATGTGAATACTGGGGATTAAAGGGTTACACCCAGCAATCAAAAGAGGATTCTTACCGCAATAGGGTCCTTAGGTGGTGGAAGGGCAGCAATTTTAGCTGCACGTGAGCGCTCTGTCTCCAAGGCTTGTTGTCTACATTAAAAAAACATTACAAATCCATGTAAAAATCCCCACAGCACTATTCCAAATAACTTCTGTCTGTTTTAATAATCAGAATAAGATTAGAAAAGATTTAGAATTTGAGCTTCCATTCAAGTGAATGCCCACACATCGAATAGAAAAACAAGAGAGCTACTTATCAAATGACAGTACAAGCTGAAGAAACCTACTTTCCCCCTCGAATTAAAAAAGATTCACAACAAAATTAATGTTCATGCAACAAGTCTGGCACAGTGTGAAGTTGCTAGTTACTAGTTCACCTAGCTATTTTTAAACGTGGATGTCTAAAAAAACTGGGATATTTCACTGAATATCTAAAAACAATAATATTCTGAAAATGTGGTTGTTAGTTCTTAGTAATTAAAATTACCTGGCTTCAGCACGTTCTCTCTCTGACTGTGTGCTCTCGGCCCTGTCATACATAAGCTAAACCATAAAAGAAACTAAATGTAATTTTTTTTTTTCTAAAAGTCTTGAATCAAGCAGCTGGGGAATTCTTTTGGTTCTATTTTTCTTTCATTTTTTAAGAAGCATAGGTGAGAAATTCCCCTGTCACTGGCACTTAATGATAGCTCTGCCAATTTAAGTTCCTTGTAAACGCAGTCAGCTCTCTCCTAAAGGACAACTCCCTATTACTCGCACAGTGATTTCAAGGCTGTGCTCTAAGAAAAATTGAAGGGAGCCCAGTGCCCTAAACCTGTGAAGCCCAGGGAGCCCAACATATGATTTGTATGAAAAATCTATGATTTTCTAGTCACCCAGGAGTAAAAGCAGGGGCCACCGGGCTCTGCTAGAGCACAGCCTTGGATTTTGCTTGATGCATCCTGTGTCCCAGATCCCGACGCATAAAAATTCACAAAGACGCAAAATAATTCATGGCATGCGTCCTGTAGGATGCAAAGAACGATCGATCGATTTGAAGATTTATTGGCAGTAATCCTGTTTGTGTGATTTCTGTGGCTGTTTTTTAAAGATGCATATTTATTTTAGTCCTTTTTGTGCTTTAAATATATAGAAGGACTACATTTTAATTTCAATAAACCGTAATATAAATAAAGAGTTTTTGCATCTGACTGAAGATTACCAGTAACAGTCTGGTTACATAAAGACCCAAGCATTTTTAATTTAGAACTCCTTGCTTTTTTTAATTGGGACTCATTGGTTATGGACAGTGACTAATGATTATTCACAAGATGGGTCCCAGAACTCACGATAACTATTTATAGCAAAATCACTGCCTACATCCTAAGATTGAATAACGGGAGCAGCTAAATTTCCGACAAAAAAGGATAAGGTCGTGTTTGACTGAAATAATCTCCCCCTATTACGAACACACTAATCAGTACCTGTTCCAGTGCTTTCTTGTATCTTTCTGATGCTCTGAAAAAGATTGCCAACAGATGGTCTATTTTAGACGCTAGGTAAACTTGTCAACAAAGATATAAGCATGGGAGAAGGTGCCAGAGATACTGGTGGAACCAAGAAGTGCAAAGAATTGCAGAGCATAATCGTGCAAATAATGTTCACTTAAGTGGCAATCCACTGTCACGTGGCTAGCAGCCAATGGAACCTAAGCATCCTTCCCACCCCTCCCCTAAGCCCACATTTTGCCCTAAGTGAGAAGTAAGTGTTGATGTTGGCTTTGGGGAGGGGTAGGTGGGCAGTTTCCCAAGAAAGGGATAATGATCCGCATACCAGATCATTATATGTTTCTGGGAAACTGCCTTCCTACCACTCCCCTAAGCCCACATTTTGCCCTAAGTGAGAAGTAAGTGTTGATGTTGGCTTAGGGGAGGGGTAGGTGGGCAGTTTACCAGAAAGGTATAAGGATCCAGCATACCTACTTTATGTTACACATAAAAATTAAATTCAGGTTAAAATTTTTTAACCAGGTTGATTCCCAATTTCCTTTGCCTGCTAGCCCTAATTCATGAATAACTAGAGCTACAAGAGACAAAGGAAATTGAAAATCAACCTAGGTTTAAAAAAAAATAAAATATTTTTTTTAATGGGCTGGGTATTCTACAATCCAGCCAAAAATCTTAATCTGAAAATTTGACCCGTAACATAGAATTACACTCCATAAAGGGAGGGCTGGGTGGGGAGCAGAATTCATGAACAAGAACAATGTACATAAAGCACTGCAAACAAAATATTTGACCTCAAAACTGAAAAAGAGAAAATGTAAATTCCCAAAAGTCCCTATCTACAGACTGGTTACTAAGCTGTTGGAGCATGCCAGTAAAAATCTCAGATGAAAGATAATGCTAGCAATTGCAGGCACCATCTTTAGCTGCACTTAAATACAAACAAAATTTAAAATTCGATAAGTTTAGGGTTAAAGTTATAAAACAAAGTTTTCATTCCTCTAAGTTTACCTATGTTTCTCTTCTTCACTTAACTCTGGTTTGGTATAACTAGTTTGGTCCTGTAAAAAATATATTATTGTATTATTATTATACACACAGGAAAGGCAAATTTCACAACAAAAACAATTTGTATAACTTTCCTTTCAGAAAAAGACATATCTTACCCAGGCAGGTACAGTAGCTAATAACCAGCAATTTGAGTTTAAACCAAACGAAAATGTGTAATATTCCATGAGGGTAAAATTTGTTTTCATACACTGTGATTGTTTTAAGCCTTGTCTCTATAGTTCTCGGAAGCGTGTGTGGCCGAGTGGTCGACACCTTGAACTCTGGATCTGGAGGTCCAGGGTTCAAGCCTTGCCCGTCATGTTGTTCCCTTAGACAAGGAACCCTACTCCACTTTGTCTCTCTTCACCTAAGTGTATAAATGGGTATCGGTGACATACTGCTGGGGGTAACCCTGCAATGGACTAGCATCCCGTTCAGGGGGAAGTAGCAATACTCCTAGGCATGCAGAAGCAATAAAAGCTGCAATGACTTTTTATGATAAATGTTTACCTCAGAGGCTGTTTGATGGGCTAATCCAATTTCAGCAAGGTTTTCTTGATATTTTCTTTCAAGCAGTGACCGTTTCAAATTTTGCCCATTCTCCCATTGGCTCTGCAGAAATCAAATAGAGAGATAATGATAACGAGCAATCAGCAAAAAATAATAAATAATTATAATAATTAAAATTTGATAGCACCTATCTGGTCCTGCTCTAGGTGCTTTACACAACATTCCAAACAATAATTAAGTAAATATTTTAACATTCCCAGGACTCACCATAACTATTTGTAACAAAGTCACTGCAATCACTATTAACTAATCCTTGTCCACCAAAACGATCCAAAAATTTGTACCTATTCCTCTTAATATAGTTTCAGAAGCTGGAAGTTTTGGATTTCATTATGAGGAACTACTCAACCACTGATTTCAGTTTACCAGGGTTGTCAGTAAGATTTCAAGTTGCCAGGTAAATACAACAAGTAGGCGGGGAATCAAACGGCTAGGGATTTCTTTTGGTTCTATTTTTCTTCTATTTTCCAATAAAAGTAGCCAGGGGCCACTCTCCTAGTGGCCGCGGAAAATCCCCGGCCCCCGACTCTTGATGACAACCCTGGTTCACTAATCATTTTGTTCCACCAAAACAATTTGAAAGTTTGGGATACAACCTACAATGCAGACAAATAACAATCGTTACTATATACAGTGTAGCTGAATCCATCAGCAGGCAAGACAGATGCTACAATGCATACTACAATGCAGATGCAGCCTATAGATCCACGAGTAAAATGCAGTAATAAAAATACACACCAATAACAATCATTACTATATACAGTGTAGCTGAATCCATCAGCAGGCAAGACAGGGCTCAAAATTAAGAAAAATCCTCAGGTCACCTTTTGGCTACCAACTGGAGAAATATAGTCCCCAGATGCAAATTTTTAGTCGCCACTTTGTACAATGTAAATGACGCAGCACACAGTATGGCCGATCCATCAGATTTGATTGTTTAAAAATATCACAGACAGAAGTCGGTATGAATTTTGAGTTAAACTAGCTTTGTTTATAAAGCAATTAAGCACATTTTTTATGACAAAAGCAAAGCAAGATAAGATGAAATGTTTGTTTTAACTTTACTCTTTTAATTTAAATCTAAAACACAGAGAAATCTGGTCGCCAAAGTGGCAACTAAACCAGAATGTTTAGTCACCAAGGAGAAAATGTTAGTCGCATTGGTGTTAATATCAGTCGCAACGTGGAGCCCTGCAAGATGAAGTAAATCCTGCATTATGATAGATTGGCTACCTGAGACTGAGTGGGCAAGATGGGCTCATCTTGCCCAGTCAGAATTTCCTGTGTTAGTCCTGTAATTAAAAGTTCTCTTTTTGGCCATATAACAAATCCCTTATTGACCATAAGCATGCTCAGTTAAGATGGCTGTATATTGGCCTCATTCTTTCTTACAAAAAAAAAGTAGTTGGCCAATATCCTGCCGTCTTGGTCTCACACTAGGTCAATAATGCAATATAATAATAAATATTTGCTACAAACACAAATATGGATAAAAAAAATACCTTGAGGTGGGAAGCAAGGTGTTTTGTTTCAACAGTTTTTCTTTTCCTCACATCTTCCAGCAACTTTCGAGAAAAAGCTTTCTCCTGCTCTCTGACCTACATATGAACATATATTTCAATGGAGAAGTTATCTTTATTTACAAAATAACTAAGAGAGTGCTACACTCTGATTGGCCAAGAGGAGTGTTTGCATAAGAGTATGTAAGCACAGTTGACATCAAGATGTTTAGTCCTTTGTGCTAGCTAATCATGTAAACAAAAATTTTAAAAAGATATTGAGCTGAAAAATCTAAAAGTTTACTTTTATACCAATTTTTTTTGTTGGTTGAGACTTGGAAAATCTTTACAAACATGCTGTGTCAATTTTTTGGCTTATGTTAACATTTTAAGCCACAAAAATCTGTATTTTGGAAAGCACCTTTTTTGCAAAGCAAGAACGGATTATGTGAACAAAATTGCATGTACAACACTTCAACCTGGTTGGTAAGAATTTCTCTTTTAACAGAGTTTTGCTTTCTTTTCTCTGGAAAGGTATTTCATAAAAGCAATAGAAAACTTTTTTATTGTGTATGCATAGCATTAGCCTGATATAAACACTCGAAGGGTTGGGAAAATTCTCAATTTCTTTCCCAACACCCTCTTGTGTTTATATGAGGCTATGCAAACACCGAAAACGTTTTCTATTGCTTAAATCTAAAATATATAATGGTACAATACTGGTAGGTGTAACTCTACTCTGTTGATAAAAGAGCTCCCATCTCATATCGAAACCTTTCCAGTCTCACATGTAGAATAACACAGGGCTGTCATTGGGGTTTAAGTAGATGGTCTCTCAAGGAAAGTAGCAGGTCATTTAACCTACAAATCCTCCCATATTTTGTTTTAGTATTTACCAAATCAGTGAATAGTGCACAAATCAGTGCACATTTTGATTGGCTCTCAGAACTCAGAATATCCTTGGCTATTCACTGTTTTGTGACCGGAGCCAAGATGGCGTCTCGTTTTGAGACATTTTTGATAGACGAAATTTGAGTGATTAACGAAAAAGTCATACAAACAAATACCAAGAAAGCGACGAACTTTGGCCTGTCAGTGTTTAATGGTAGGTAGAAGATTATTTTCATGCTGAATTTGCAACAAAATCGTAAAAATGCACTTGATACTAACCTAAAATGTTAGTAATAATTGTAAACAAAGTAAGTTCCTATTAAGTGACATTTTTAATTTACAAATAGTTACCTTTTTTTATTTTAATCCAACTGATTTGGTAAAATATACCAAAACAACTACCCCCTCAGGATCGGTGAACAGCACTAGATATATACCTCTTGACACTTCGGGTCTCAGTATATATCCACCACTATTAATTTATAGTTTTACAATGTATGACTCATTTTCAAACTTGGAGTAGCCGATTTGGTCTGTAGAAAGGCCCTGAAAAAGGCTAACTGCAGATCTTTTTATGGCTGCAAAAAAAGTCATGAAAAATTTTTGGTTTTGTGGTTTATTCATGTTTTGAAAACAGTGTTTTCACAGCAGTTAAACAAAAATGCAAAATTCCTAACTACTATAGGTGTGTGGAAGGTTTATTAAAAGGTTATACGAAAGGGGGACTTTTCTCTCAAAAGCTGACCATATATAAAATGGTAAGGCATTGGACTGGGGGGCAGAGCCTCTCTATATAAGACCCCCAGGAATTCCATCTCTGGTGCACAGCAGATGCCTCATTGCAAAAAGCTGATCACAAAACACATTTTATTGACTCCCAATCATTGCCATAAATATGGCTTACTGCATAACTATATAACAGTACTTAATAAATAACCTAGGTTAACAAAATCAACCTAGGTTAAATCAAAATTAACCTGAAATCAATTTGACCTGTAACAGATATTTCACAGATGGAGCTTAATATTCTTTTGGATTCACCTGTTTAAGACGAAGCTTCTTGCGTTTCTCTTTGTCGCTTTGAAGTATAGTAGCCTACAAATCCATGAAAGAAAAAAGTTAGTAACTTCACCTTTAAAAAAAAAGTTCAAAAAAGTAACTTTAATCACCCATAAATCGAGTATAATGTATGACCGATGTAACAAAGATGTTAAGATAAAATCTCTTTCATTATAATCTCTTAATAACAAGTAGAAAATGAAATGACAATGAGCTATTGCATTTAATACCCGCATCCCCCTGGTTGTGGACCAATGGCATTCTTGAGGGGTAAGTTATAAAAATTGGGTTTTCTTTAGTGGTAGAGCAATAAAAATATGGAGTTCTTTAGGGGTGAAGCTTTGATTTTTAACAAAATCTTCAGCAGTGAACGAGGAAAAAATCAACTTTTTCAAAATTCTTCAGGGGTAAACACATATTCTTCTGTGGAAGACCCATATTTTATAAGTCTTCAGAGGTGAATACAATTATTTTGTGGAATTCTTCAAGGGTAAGAAGGAAAGGCGGTAAGTCCTTGACCAAGGTGTACGGATATTAATCAATACCACTTATTATTCATTCAAAATGTTTCCCCAATTCTGATTGGCTAAAAGCACACGCATAATTCACCATAACCAGTTACTGACGACAAAATTTGGAAGAATTTTGTGTTTAATGAGGAAATGAAGTCAAAAATGCAGCCCTCTACAGGTTAATGCACCATTAACCAAGAAGACCTGGAGACGAGGTTGAGTTGTCTTTGTTGTGAAAACTAAAATAGCAGACAGTTCACTTGTTTCAAGAGTAAGAACTACAGCCGGAACTAGGCGAAATAATGGCTAAAAACATGGCAAAAACAGCAAGACGACAACTGGGAGGGTGACATCTGCTATTTGGAGAATCACAGGAAAAAATAACAGATTCCCATTTTTGGATATTTTAGGGTATATAAAGAATACCCATAAAAATCCCAAATTTGGCAAAGTGAGACAAATCCCAACCCGGGAATTCCCAACCAAGTTCCCTGATTGGGACTTGTCTGACTCTTCCAAATTTGGGATTTTTGTGGGTATTCTTTAAATACCCTAAAATATCCAAAACTGGGAATCGGTTATTTTTTCCTGTGAATATTTGTGGAGCTGGACAAACCTAAACATATACTATCAAAGATAAACTTAACATCGATGCAGGTAAGTATGTTTTACCTATGCTTTTAAACTAGGAATTATTTTGAATGAATAATAAAGCAATCAATGAATTCGGCTTTCGTAGGATATGAAGAGGATATGAAGATCTCAGAGGGTGTTATCCACCTTGGCCTTCACCCTCGGTGGATAACACCCTCCTCAATCTGCTTAATTCTTCATATCCTACTCAGCCTCATTCATTAATTGCTCATTATATTAGCCCAATGCCACAGATCAATCTGTGGTATTGGGTTAATATAAATGGTATGAATAGACAAAACTATAAAAACTTCTGGTTAAGTCCATAGTCCGAGATTTAATAGATTACGTCTACGACACAAGCTAGGCAATGCTTAATCAACTTAACAGATTAAGCTTAAGCTTAAATATCACCACAGTTATGAAAATAAGCTTAAATAAACGCATAAAAGTTAACCTCCTCGTTCGGGCTTGGCCTCAAGACCTCTCTACGCTTCTTGCGTTCTTGTTTCTTCATTTATAGAGTCCTTAGCTTCTTTGGATGGGACCTGACAAAACAAAAAACGGTAACTGCAACTGATTCATATAAACAGCGATTTGATCATTCATTCTAATCTAAACATTAATCTAAGCTAATCGACGGGCGAATTTCACAACATAAACATCAAACATAATGTACCAAAACAACTTACCCCTTTGTAACGTGAAATTGATTTTGAACCTGAATGACGTAACGCATGTAAAATATTTNATGCTTAATCAACTTAACAGATTAAGCTTAAGCTTAAATATCACCACAGTTATGAAAATAAGCTTAAATAAACGCATAAAAGTTAACCTCCTCGTTCGGGCTTGGCCTCAAGACCTCTCTACGCTTCTTGCCTTCTTGTTTCTTCATTTATAGAGTCCTTAGCTTCTTTGGATGCGACCTGACAAAACAAAAAACGGTAACTGCAACTGATTCATATAAACAGCGATTTGATCATTCATTCTAATCTAAACATTAATCTAAGCTAATCGACGGGCGAATTTCACAACATAAACATCAAACATAATGTACCAAAACAACTTACCCCTTTGTAACGTGAAATTGATTTTGAACCTGAATGACGTAACGCATGTAAAATATTTTAAGATTTTCCTCCCTGGAATTCAATAAATTTATCGCCCTTCCAAGCCTCCAGGTTAAAGATTTCCTTGCCATCTCGTTAGCGCGTTATGTTGCCTTCCCGCGCCATTTTGATTTACAGCTAGACAACAGGCTTTTGCCACTTTTATTGGACGCGTGATTACTGGGACTAATTTCTTCGACGTCATATATTGCTCAAGACTTCCGGTTCCGTCCTGTTCTATGTGTAAAGTGTTGAGAGAACCAAGAGTTTTCTAAGCGAATCTTTTTCCATCGGCATCATGAAAATCTTCAAGGACTTGTTTAGTGGTAAGATGGTTTTCTAAACCCTTTTTTGTCGTTTTAAAAGCGTTATTTCTTAAATTTGGATTAACAACAACAAAACAATATCATGGGAAGACATATGCGAAGATCCTTTGCTAAGAAATCAAGATATCTTTTAGAATCTCAAAATATTTTATCCTTTGTGGATGCCGATCAATGTCAAAAAATTATCTACGAGAAAAAGCGACCACTAATCGAACCAAACGTACGAGAAATTAGTCGCACTTCAATCTTGTATTTACCAATCAAACTTTAACTTTCGGTGCAGTGAGTTCGATCAGTTCGATTCATGTGGGAAAAAATGCAAAATATATAGATTCAATAAGTGCGTATCTTGTACATTTCAGTGAAGTAAATTCTGATTGAATGCAGCCACTTTTGCATGGGTAACAGGATACTCTGTGTACAGTATGTGTGAAAAAAAAATAGGCAGCAACTGCTGTTATTCTCAAAGGCAGAGTCACGCACATGACCGAGGACTTTTGTGATTCACTATTAAAGTTCCTAGTAATAGGCTAATGGGGATGTGCTGCTGGATGGGATCGCATTTTCACAGCTAGATTAACTATAATGGGGTTGCATTTTCATTAGAGTTACTAGAAAGGGATCACACATTTTTGGAATTTGGGGGATCAGAAAATTCCGGTAGGTAGGGATTTTAAAATGGGAAGATTTTTACTTCATTAAGTTTAACCAATGTGTCAGTTCATTTTAGGATGACCTAGTTATAATTAGAAGGCTCTACAACGTAGATGCATGAACAGAAAGTTACTACGCTGAGATTGCAAAAATTACATTTTCCCAAAAAAAGATGAAAAAAGATGGGATCTATATTTGGCCACAGAAAAGACTATAATGGGGTAGGGGTTGTGAGAGACCAGCAGTACGTACCCAGCAAAAATTAAACCAAGTAACCCACCCCCCAAGAAAAGAGCTTGCTTGCAGCTAATTAACCAAATGTTTGGTACTCAAGTGACTAAAGTACAAAGCCAATCAATGTTTGAAGTCTGATTAAGTTCAATTACCAATACTTTAGCATGACCATGTATAACATTGAGCTGCTAAATGCATCTTGATTGTAGGCTGATATACAGATTTAGCCAGGGCTAAAAGCGAAGCTCTCGATAAAATTTATGGTTTGTTCAACAAAATATAAAATTGTGTAATGCTAAGCGGCGAAGGCAACGCTAGCCTCCCACGCAGGCGTTTTTAGGGGAGCTCGTTTTTCATCCCTCCCCACAAATGCCTGCTCAACCAAAGACAACATTCCTTTCCCAAGCTTAACCAATCACATTGTACTTTCCAAATCCTGGAAAGTTAACCTTGACCGCAAGGTAATCTGATAATTACTCGATCTGCATTAAACACTGGGAAAGCTTTCTGACCTCTAATAAAATTAATGTTAGATTCAGAGCGGCAAAAATAAGATTTAGTCAAAATTTAGAATACTCCATGCACTGCATAACCTTAGGGAAGGAAAGAAAATAAGGAAAACGGTAACTCTAGGGTCACGTTCAGTCGTGTTTAGCCTGTCAACACTTTATTGCACAACTGTTTATTGGTCACTCACCACGCAAATAAAATAATGGGAAAGGAATGTTGTTTCCGGCTGAGCAGGCGTTTGTGGGGAGGGATGAAAAACGAGCTTCCCTAAAAACGCCTGCGTGGGAGGCTAAGGCAACGCCAGAGAATGGTGAAAAACAACAATAGGTCCAATCAGCAAAAAAACAACTTTGCACTTGCAGCACACTTTTTTTGTACATTTCTTTGCCGTTGCTTTGCATGACTACAACGTGAAACTTCGAGAAACTTCTTAGTTACACGTTTTATGGAGGAAATGTCGTATGTTTTCTTGTTCACTTTTTTTTTTCATTGCTGCTCATTTTCACCTTGCATTGGTGGCCACTAGCATTTCTCATTTTGTCACTACCCAGAGTGCAAAGAAAGTCATTTTTACAGCTTAACATTCGGGCTAGTTGAATCTAACATTTACTAGCCCAAACATCATTTCAACTAGCCCCAAAAACGTTTTGATGAGTAGATTGATTTCACAGTTCTTCTGTAATTTGAATTTCTCAAAAAAACGTCACTTGCCCGTCGGCCAAGTTAATAACAGAATTCACTAGCCCGATAACAAAATCCACTAGCCCCGGGCTATCGGACACTACTTTCTTTGCACGCTGCTACCGTTACAAAATTTTTATGTTGTTCTTCCAACAAAAAAATGTCTCCTTTGTTTTTGATCTAATCTAGTAGAGTTATCTGAAATCAAACACAAAATTTTGCCTCCTGTGTATGCCCAAACTTAGAAAGCTATAATTTGGCATCTGGAACAAAAGGTTAAGCTAGCATGGATCTTGACTTGCAAACAACGTTTTAGGTAGTTTGGTTTTGTTTCTGCTCAATAGTGAAAAAAAAATGATTCGACTAGCTTCAAACAGATATGTTTCAAGGAAATCTCCAGGGCAATTCATGTTGAATCATGTTGTTATTCTTCTTTTTAATTCTTTTCTGTTTTAATCCACTGTAAATGACATTGCATTGTCCACTGCGCTGAAGTGTTAGCAGTAATAGTAATATACAGGGTATTAAAACCTAAGGACTAAAAATTTCAGTTGTTAAACTAGTTAGCCTCTTTAATTTTCAGGAGATGAATTGTTCACTGATGTATACAAGATGACGGAAGTTGATGGAATTTTTTATGAAGTGGAAGGAAAGGTAAGTAGGCAATAAAGAACTTACTATGTGAACTCTCTATTCCCTAAGTCTAGAGTGAAGAACATCAAATTTCTCCCTGTAATATTATACACTTAATGTCAGATCCCGAGGGAAACAGTTAGTTTTGTTTTCCGGAGAGTCCTGATGTTTCCCAAGATGAAGTCAAGGGAAACATCAGGACTCCAGGGAAATCAAAACTAACTGGTTTCCCGAGGGACTGGACATTAAGTGTTTTGTTTTATTATATACATACTGAGAAATACTCACCAAAAAGCTATGCCGTAAATTTTCGTACGCAAATTAGTTCTAGCCAATCAAAGGGAGCGAACGATGGTTTTCACACGTGAAAAAATGATACGTCCAATCAGAATCGCGAACAATGTTTTTTCATGTGTGAGAAAAATGATACGTCCAATCAGAAGCCACAGAGGTGTGTGAGTTTCGCGCCAAAATTCCCACCTTTTATTGCAGCTTGCAGCCCTGCTTCGCACACATTCAACGAGGAAAGTTTTACTAAAAGAGCTTTTCTTGCTAAAAAAGTGAAAAACATTTTGGAAATGGAGTGGAATAGTTTCGTTTGTTTCACTGTCGATAAAGAAAACGGTAGAGAGCTGGCGAAAACAACAGCAGAAAGGGAAAAACAGAACGAGACGTAAGCTTTTGTTGTGCTTTTTGTCGGAGCTACTTTGCCTTTCATTTAAGCTTAAGCTTCCCTGACTGTTTAAAAAAGAATGCAATATGCTTTACATTATTATTTTGGTATAAGGTCTTTGTCAAGTTTCTCAATTTTGTGATGGATTTACCAGAATCATACTTAATTTTTCCCAGGTGACTACTGAAAAAAGTGGTGATATAGATGAAAGTTTGATTGGTGGGAATAAATCAGCTGAGGACACGGGAGGTGATGACGTGGAGGAAAATGCAGTAACTGGCGTTGATATTGTTTTAGCCAACAAACTTAAAGAAGTGGGAGGACAGGCTTTTCCTTTCTCAAAGAAAGATTACCAAAAGCATTGTAAGGCGTATATGAAAAAGCTCCTTGAACATCTAAATCCAGAAGAAAAGGACAAATTCCAGGCAGATGCCAAAGTTGCAATGCAGAAAATTTGGGGAAAATTTAAGGATCTCCAATTTTTTCGGGGAGAGAGTGAAGCTGATTTTGATGACGCTGAATGTATGCTGGCTATACTTGAGTATCGTGACAACACACCATACATGTTGTTCTTCAAACATGGTCTTGTCGAGGAAAAAATGGTGAGTACCGTTGAGGTTTTTTCAGGGACATTTGCAAAGGCCCTGCCAGGGTAAATTTCGATTAGTGACATGGCCCAAAAAGTAGCGACAGCGCATCAAATGAAATCGCGACAAGAGACAACCTCCCTCCGCCAAATTGCAACAGTGGTGGCAAAGCCGACAATAAGCGACATGCATTCATAAACACCGACACGAGACATTTTAAAATTCAGACGGGCAACATGGACCCCCCGCTGGCAGGGCCTCTTTGCTCTAATGCATATTGTTTCAACTGACTGCATGCATGAGTCTTGTCATAATATTAGGCCATGAGCGCACAATAAGGAAGAAAGGGTCACACTTGACAGGGGCATAGCTCGGATTTTTCAGAGGGGGAAGGGAGTCACATTGTGTCACGCCCAGACTTAGATGACAATTATCGGAGAAGAAAGATTTAACTCTGAATCAGATGAAGAGCATTCCTTACCTCTCTTTGAAGCATTGAAAACAGTTTGAAAGCTTTGCTTGTTTGGATAAACAGCGTTTGCTATTTCACAAGCAGTAGCACCAACTTGATATCTTGGTCACAAATTTCTGCGTGCCTTGCATTACTTGTGTTTCAACGGCCTCATATTGATGTGGCAAGGAGGATCAAATACGTTGTCTATATAAACCAATCAATGCCTAACTACTCTCTGACCATCATACCATAAAATTCCGAAAATAAGCCCCGGGGCTTATATTTTTCAAAGCCCCTTTTTGAGGGGCTTATATTCGGAGGAGCTTATGTATGGAGGGAAATTTGCATTTCAAAGTCGATTAAGCTGGCTTGTAGTGGCAAGGAAATTTACCATTTTTGCTCTGTTTTGCTTTGTATTTGAGGGCAAATTCCAAGTACAAGCCCCCTGGAGGGCTCATATTCAGAGGGGTGATTTAACAGGAGGGTTTTTTGGGATACGATTTTGGGGGGCTTATGTTTGGAGGGGCTTATTTTCGGAATTTTATGGTACTTTTGGTACAAACAAGAACATGGTCTACTACAGATGTCTGGTCCTGCAAATGGAGTGTGTTACTATCTAGCACTGCAAAAGATTTATTGCATGTTGATTCTTTGGATTTGCACTTTTTCACCACCTGAATTATAGGGTCATAAAACAATATTATCCAACTGATAAACTTGAGGTAGTGATGTGCTCCTTTTACCCTTTCTTTCCATCAATTCCCCATGGGGGGGGGGGGTGCTCAACAGAGAGGCTACACCCGGAGGTCCAACCCCTTACCCTTTTACATACCAGTTTTGACAGAAAAGGCACCCCTTTCGTATACCTTCTATTGACAAATTTTACCCCTTTCACACACCCAGTTTAGAACTTTGCATCTCTTAAACTGCTGTTTGACTGCCACCTGGTTAGCTCAGTTGGGAGAGCGCCGGTCTGCCGAGCGGGAGGTCGCGGGTTCAAACCCCGGCCGGACCAACACCCAGGATCTTTAAAATAACTACGAAGAAAGTGCTGCCTTTGTAATGACATCTGCAAATGGTTAGACTTTCTAGTCTTCTCAGATAAGGACGAAAAACTGTAGGTCCTGTCTCGCAGCACTTTCACTGATTTGTTCTTGTGGGACGTAAAAGAACCTACATCACTATGCGAAAAGAGAAGGGGTCGTAGACCCTGGTGGTGTGGCCAACCTTTACAGGTTGTGGGATTGGGCAGGGATGGCACCTTGCAAGGGACCCATGAGTCCCTTTCATGCACATTCCCTCTGGGCAGGGCTGTGTCCAGAAAAGCTGGTAAATAAATAAGTAAACGCACTATCTTTGAAATATGATTAAGACAGAATCCACCAGGAAATTAAGTAATTTTAATTTTCAGTGGACAAAAACCTTGTATCAGAATAATTTTAAATCCTTTCCTTTTCTCTGTTATTTTGCAGTAATGAGCAGAGCAAGGCAGGAAAAAATTATACAGGCTAAGCTGAAATTGAACTTTATATGACGAATGGTATATTTCGCAATCAAGTTATCATAAAGTTGTGCATTAAAACTGACAAGCTTTGAAGTAGTTTAGGAGGCACTCAATTGACTGCATTACAGGTCCATGTAAAAAGTGAACAGAATTTACGGCATTTACTTTGTGTACCAGACGCAGATGATGTAAAACAAAAGAGCAAAAACCAAGAAACAATACCAAACAGATTTTACCCTCAACAGAAAACAAAGGGGTCTTTTGTTTTACTTCATCTCTGCCAAGTACACGAAGTAAAAGCGGAATTTACCGCTAGAAACAATATTGTGCAGGCACTTCTTAGAACATTCAAGTTTACCTATCACTGCAGTGACTCAGTTTTATGTCGCCATAGACGGCTTGTTTGCTTCAATCATTCTGAGCAGCTTTTTTTTCCAATACTATCAGTCAGATGTTTCCTTTGATTTTCCAGAAGTAAACTTAATTTTTCCAGTGCTGAAGTCGCACGGTGTGTCGTAAATGGCTCATCCATGAATGGTTGACCCATATCATAGTGGGCTGAGTACAGTTCCATTACTCTCGTTAGAGTAATGGCCTTCATTTACCCAAATTGCAGAATTCCTCACTAAAATTCTATAGAAACTTATCTATGTTGGAAAAGTTATGTAATCTTGCTTCTGACGATTTATTAAACGTGGAATGTCGTAGTTGTTTGAGTTTGATTTCTCTCAGGGCCTTAGTAGAAGGGGACCGACACCTTGTCTCTACTTCCCCCCCCCCTCCCTACATCCCCCACTTTTTGGGCGAAAATTACAAAAAAAGACGACGACTACCACTTTTCCGTCAAAAATACCGAGTTGATATCACAACGCAATTCCCCCTTCGATTTTACAACATACAAAATAAGCCCCTCCAAATATAAGCCCCCCAAACCGGTAACGCAAAAAACCCTCCGTTAAATCACCCCTCCAAATTTAAGCCCCCCGAGGGCTTGTCCTTGGAATATTTCCCTCAAATACAAAGTAAAACGAAGCAAAAACGGTAAATTTACCTTCAACTGTAAGGCTAGCCCAATCGATTTTGAGACGCAAAACTCCCTCCATAGATAAGCCCCTCCGAATATAAGCCGCTCCAAAAATAAGCCCCTTAAAAAGGGCCTTTGAAAAATATAAGTCCCTGGGCTTATTTTCGGAATTTTACGGTATGTTGTTCAAATGTTAGGTAGCAGTTCACATATATATTTTTTACTATAATACAAGTTAAAAATTGCTTGAAGTTAGCCTAAAAAGAGCAATAAACTGTATCTAAAAGTGCTTAGTAAATTTCCCAGTCTGCAATAGAGGGTATTTCAGACTTTCAAGTTTTGGCCGGGGAGGGGGGGGGGGTCTCGGCCCACAACAGTCGAGTACGCCGCTAGCACTGCTAACTTTCGTGCGCTCGCAATTTCAAATTCTTTCATACGGGCCTGTCTATGGTTGTCTCAATGTATAGATAACATTTTAGTTTAAATGAATCTCGTTTTTTCACTTAGCCTCGCTTTGAAAGTGGGAGTTATTGGAGTTAGGAAATGGCATATTCAGTAACGTTTTCGGAAAGCCTCTGCGACCACAGTAATAGATAGAGTATGTGATGAAACCTCCTCCCCACCCCACCCCACACAATCAAAAATTAAAATCAAGACTGTTCAATAGGTAAAGTCCACCATTTCTAAAGTGAAAGGAGGTAAATATGCAAAGACGCCGGGCAGTACAATTTTTCGTATTCCGGAAAATGTGTCCATGTTGTTTGTGGTGTGCAAACGGATCCAACATTGTTGCGCTACTCTTCAGCGATCACGGAACAAAAAATAGTGGGGAGTTGTTGGCTCTAAAGTTTGACCGGTTTTAAACTTAAAACAACCGCTCCCAAAAACACACAACATTTAACAGGATGTGCAAACGGGCGCAACACGTAACATTCAACAATGTTGAGAGATGTTGACAAACAATGTTGCGTCCGTATGCACGTGGCTTTAAGATCCGAGCACGGCTACATACGTGACGAAACATCACTGAAAACTGAATACTCGTTCCACTCACACTTTGTCGGGTCTTTGTCAAAAGTAGGCGAACTCCCCTAAAGCTGAATTCCTAAGAACCACATCCAAGCTCTGAAAGAGAAAGAAAACTTCGTCGTTGCTTGTTTACGTCCCCGATAAAAACGTGAAATTAGGCATTTTCACTCTTTATTCGTGCAGTGACGTCAAAGAAATCTACGAAAAAAAGTGTGCTGCACGTGCAAAGGTGTTCTTTTGTTCATTAAACCTATTGCTTTGTTGACGTTCTCGTTGCTGTCACCTTCGTCGATCTTAAGGTCCTTGTTTGCCGACGACGAACGACCTTGTTTCCCAGTTCTGTGGCTCTTCCTTGCGTTGAGGTTCCACTGTATTTGTTCTGTTTCTTTTTTTGGTTTCTTTTTGTTTGTTTGTTGGTTTGTTTGTTTGTTTATTTGTTGTTTTTGTCGCCTTTTTTGTTGTTGATGTTTTTCTTCAGAATTTCAGGGCATATTATCTTCAATTTTGTCTTTTCTCAGTACAGCAGTGAAACGATTCAAGAGTGCATTAAAACTATTATAACTCAATTATCATATATAATATTAATTATACAATTAGCGTTATGTTTATAACTCCACACGTCCAAGCGTTTGTGAAGTTGCGAGTTCGCACAGTAAAGCATTTGTCACCCAAGGTGTGTGCGAGACTGGGGCATTTGTGAATTTTCGGCTTTCTTCAAAACCAACATAATTTTAGATTGTCCCCGAAGTTTAGCTCGTGCCGCAGACACTCTTACTAATGGCTTAGACGATGTGTACAGCTGTGCTTAGGCCGGCTGCAACACAGGCTATTGAAGTTATGCAACTTAAATCAGTCGAGATGATACCTCGTTCAACAATCAAGCAGAGCTGTGGATGACATCACTACAACAAATAAGACAACAAACAAGAAATATAGTTTTTTCAGTTAAAGAGTATTTCGCTTAAAATTTCTCATTCCTCCAAAGAGAGAGAGAGTGTCTGGCAAATTGTTTCCAATCAAAGATTTGTGAATGATAAACTCGAGTCTGGAAACTCTCTCAAAGTGTTTATATCAGTACACAGTTATACACAACTTATAACTTCATAAGCGCTTAACGAGTGTCTTTTGGTGCACGACTTTCAAGAGAGCTGCTCATGTAACAGCTGCTCCGAATAGCTGTGGTGCGTTTCCATGACCCCAGACAATACTGAAACAATACTGTTTCCTGCGACCAATTAGGAGAGACCTTACGAACAGCACCTACACTACTCGGGTCCCACAGAATGTCACTGATAGCATGTAATGCAAAAGAGTATCAAGGTATGACTGTGCAATAAGCGGTGGCGGATCCAGGGGAGGGAAGGGCCAAGCCACACCGGTCTCCTCCCCTCCCCCCTTATTTTTAGACCAAACTGAGGTCCGAATGGACGAGATAAAAATTTGGAGTCCGGGCCCCCCTATTCTCAGGGTCTAGATGACCGCCCTTCCCCCCCCCCCTCCCCCCTTTATCTCAAGGTCTGGATCCGGCACTGAGAAGTGTTCCAAATCAACCTAGGCGGGTTTAAGGGATTTTCTTGTTTACGTCATCCTAACCACCTCTTACTTGCGGGAGAGAACGATAGAAACGTCATCATTACCCTACGATTCCATGCGGCTCCTGATCTAGCAAATCGAGATTTTTTGTGGTATGCTGACTGTATATTTCAACTGTAAGTACTTTTCTAAATACATGTATACGCGCGAGCTACTACTGATTACCTCCTCGGGCCTGCGGGACCACAATGTCTACAATATAGGTCACGTGATGTAGGTCACGTTGTAGGTCAAGGGACATGCGGCCCTTTGTCTTTTTATAAATTAGGCGTATTTTCATGCTCGGAATAAGACGAAATTTGAAAGGAAAAGTTCTCTGGAGTATTAACACATGACATGACCTACATTGCATCAGAAAAACAAAACATACTTTCTGAAAATTTTAAAAAGCTTTCTATTTATAACCATGCAGTTTGGGAGGGAGTGAAGGGTGTCACGTTCCGTTCCTTGTCGTTCCTCGGTCTTTCTTTGCTCCGAAATCACACAAAAACGCTTGCTTCGCAAGCTAACGAGGCACAGACTACGTACAACAAAAGAAACAACACAACAAATCAATAAAGCCCCAGGGAGAACTCTATTCTCTGGTTCCTTTATTTCTTTTGTAATGACGGTACCGACAGAGAGACGCAACAACCTTCTCTTGTGAAATTTACACGACTACAAGAAAGCAACTCGAGGTGACTGGTTTCTTCCGACGTACTTCTGAAGATTCGCAATCTCGATTTGTCGCCACAAATCATGATTATTTTTCTGGACATATTTACTGGTAAGCTTAATGATCCTTATTTACTTTACAGATTTTAACTCAGGATACCCTGGCCCCATAGGTGCGTTCTCAATATACCTAAAATGTCTTACGTTTTGAATAACTGAGGAGAAAGTGCTGCCCGGTAATGACATCTAAAAACAGTCAGACTTAATAGTCTCCTCGGGAAAGGACGATAAAACATATAATAAACTTTGTGGAACGTTGAAGAACCCACTGAGGGAAACAGTTAATTTTGTTTCCCGAGAATCTCATTGTTTCCCGAGGCACAGCCGAAGGGAACGTTGAGATTCGACTGTTAATATAGCTAAAAATTTTGAAGCTGGAAACTCATTAAACCTCGCTGTAATGGCGGTCGTCGGTCAAAATTCGCGGGTATGCCACTACGGCTACGGCGACGGCAACGAGAACGTCAAAAACCAATTAGTTAAGAGGGAGTTTAAGATACCACGATGGCGACGGCTGCAAAAACGTCGCTTAAAAAGTGACTTCGCGAACTATGAAAATTTAGTGCGATTATCCCAACTCGGTCATAATGTTTTAAGCCTGATTTCCATGTGATCGCCACGATCGTTGCGAACGCTGAAAAAAAAGTTCAGCGATCGCAGCGATCATATGGAAACCACTCTTCACAGCTATCGCAGCGACAGCAAAAGTACCAGCATGCATTGCGTACGTTCAAGTTTTTCAAGATGGCTGCTAACTAGCCTGCGAAAGCATCCGTTTCTCATCGCTCTTCGCCGCTGGGGACGTTTAGCGCCGAGAAACATCTGCGGCAGAAATTCCATACTGATGACGTAAATCATTGTTTACATAACAAATCCGGTAGTCATGGGGTTCCAAATATAAATTTGTCCAATTTTACGTGTCATCTGGTCGGTTTTGGTAAATTGTGTTCATCTGTCAACGAGCTCCAGCGAAACTCAAAATATTGACTGTTTTGTTAGAGATTCTTCGCGTTTCCATTTGACGTTTGTGGCCTTTTGTCTTTTGTCTGTCATTCGTAAACAATAGCTAAAACAGATTTTACGTCATCAGTACGGAATTTCTGTCGCTGAGTTGCAGACGTTTCCAGTCCGCTCGCAACGTCCCAGGCAGCGAAGAGCGAGGAGAAACGGATGTTTTCGCAGGCTAGCTGCCAACACAAACATTGAGAAAGCAGTCCACTTGGCACTTTTTATGGAGGAAGTACAAAAATACGACCGTCTTTACAACACATTTTCAAAGGAATATAGAGACAAGAACAAGAAAATCAACTGCTGGAAAGCAATCGGAGAGAAATTCGATTTAAGTCCTGAACATGAGTTCTCTGTCGACGATTCACAGCCGCCATGCTGAATTTGAGGAATGGCGCTTTGGCGCGAACTATGTTGTTAGACCCAGGTCCCCTCGGTCTTCATTCAGCGATCGTGGCGATCGTAGCGATCATATGGAAACCAGGTTTTAAACACCCTAAGATTAGCAAAACAACAACTCTGCACGTGCATCACACTTTTTTGTACATTTCTTTGCCGTCACTGCACGACTACGACGTGAAGTGCCTAATTTCACGTTTTATCGACAACGTAAACGTAAACATACGGCGCCGAATTTCTCTTACTCTTTTTAAACTTGAATATTTTTCTTAAGAATTCAACTCCAGGAGAGTTCGCCTACATAAAACATATTGACGGAGTTTTGATAATCTCGCTAAAGTTTCATAGATCGCGAAGTCACTTTTTAAGCGACGTTTTTTGCAGCCGTCGCCGTCGTGGTGTCTTAAACTCCCTAATAATGCACTGTTTGACTGTTACTCTCTGACGTCATTCCCCGCTAAGAGATTTGGCGGGAAATAGTTTCATTGTTAGATGTCATGTGACCTCGAAATAACCAATCAGAGCGCATGCTGTTGAGAAAACATTTCTTAGCTATATACCAATTATTAATATTTATAATATACTTCTGTTCAAATTTTCAGGAGATGACATGTTTACTGACGCGTACAAGTACAGAGAGGTCGAAAATGGCATTTTCTATGAAGTGGAAGGCAGGGTTATTGTTCGAATTTTTCTTAGTTTTCTTTTCAAGATGAACGCTCAAATGTTACACACCCATATGACTTTTCATGGCTTTTGTACTGATTTGGCACAAGACAGGATAAAGGGGACAGAGAAGGCATCCCCCATATACACCCTATTCCATAGGTAATTCGTCTCGAGTTATTTTTAAGACCACTACTCCCAAGGAGATTGGACAACAGCCAATCACATAGCGCGAATGTGTTCCGCGTGGATGACCCACGCTCAGAGCCACGCGTCCTTCACGAATTGAGGCAGAAAAAAATGACGGAAGACGCGGAGCGCGATATTGCTATTCGTTTTGTCGACGAAAACGAGAGATTTCTGCTAAAGCTGTGTCAGCGAAACGAAAATTAAAAAAGAATCGCCCCTCCTCTCTTGCATAGAGCTAACAGTACAGCAGGGAAATCTTTAACACACTGAATATTCTCTCAGGATCATTTATAATTTACAGTTTGAAGAGAGCAATTTCTGGTTTGATATTTATTCTTTTATTAGTCTTTTATTATTCAACAAAAATAACACTTGGGGTCCTATAATAATAATAATGACAATTTAATAACTTCTAGAGCGCTATTTACATTCACTGATCAACAGCGCTTTACAACTTAAAAAACTACAATAAAATTCAAATTTGTAAAACTAATTACATGTACATGAATATTACCTGCTACTTGCTTTACTGTACAAACGACCGGTTTCAATAGACCGGCGAAATTTCTCATTTTGTTAAAGCACTGAGGTTACGATAACTTCGAGTTAAACTGATTTCACAGGTTGTCAAAGAGTCGAGCGATTCCCTTTTCCCAGGTGAGCGCGGACTCATTTCGCTTCAATATTCAGAAATGCTCTCGATCTCTATACGCTTTCATTGCACTTCGCCAGACATCTTTTGCACGGCGTTTAGTCATGCGAAACCTCCACGAAACATCCACGCAGCGCGCGAGTTAACTCTATCCCAATTCTAAAAATAACTCGAGACGAATTACCTATGGAATAGGGTGTATATGGGGGGTGCCTTCTCTTTCCCCTTTATCCTCTCTTGTTTGGCACTAAAAGTCTCGTATGTTTCCTTTCCAGAGACTNGTCCTATAATAATAATAATGACAATTTAATAACTTCTAGAGCGCTATTTACATTCACTGATCAACAGCGCTTTACAACTTAAAAAACTACAATAAAATTCAAATTTGTAAAACTAATTACATGTACATGAATATTACTTGCTACTTGCTTTACTGTACAAACGACCGGTTTCAATAGACCGGCGAAATTTCTCATTTTGTTAAAGCACTGAGGTTACGATAACTTCGAGTTAAACTGATTTCACAGGTTGTCAAAGAGTCGAGCGATTCCCTTTTCCCAGGTGAGCGCGGACTCATTTCGCTTCAATATTCAGAAATGCTCTCGATCTCTATACGCTTTCATTGCACTTCGCCAGACATCTTTTGCACGGCGTTTAGTCATGCGAAACCTCCACGAAACATCCACGCAGCGCGCGAGTTAACTCTATCCCAATTCTAAAAATAACTCGAGACGAATTACCTATGGAATAGGGTGTATATGGGGGGTGCCTTCTCTTTCCCCTTTATCCTCTCTTGTTTGGCACTAAAAGTCTCGTATGTTTCCTTTCCAGAGACTGGAATTTCGGGTCGTTAATGTGCAATCAAGAACACATTTTTGCGCTTTGGGAGCGTTTTCCAGTTCTCAAATGACCAACTCCTCCCCTTACCCCACAAACAACGTTGGACGCGTGTATCCCAGAATGTTTCCAAATTATAGGGTGGGAGAGGATGCACTCTTTTTTGAGGAAACTCAGAAAAAATTATGAATGCATTACTGTCCTGGGGACGAGGTCGATTACTGTCCCAGGGGGTAGGCGAGAGAACTCCGTTAAGTTAAGGAAGTCGAGATTCTCCGTGTTGATTCGCCTTTTATTCTCTCGGTGATGTCACGTCCCTTGGTAGGGTCCAGGTCTTTCCGAGCTGAGAGCGCCCGGAGACTTCTCGGGGACTGGTCTCTACCACCTTCAGTTTATCGAGAAGCTTTTCCTTGACATAATAGCTTTACAGTTTACGCATCAAAATAGATCAAAACCATGCTGTCCACCATAAAAGTAATCGAACCAAAACTGATAGGCTCGAACTAACCGAGTTCAAATGAGATGTCGGAGGGTCAGCACACCCAACAGCACACCCAACAGTAGAAATGCTCAATTTTAGACTTGTTTCAGTAACAGTGTCTCTAAAGGAAACAAAATTTCCTTATGACCATGTTGGACCACCTGATGTGCGGTAGCAGGGGCGGATCCAGGAATTCTCGATTGGGGCGGGGGGTCCAAACTTTGGTTCAGAAAGGAGATATTGAACTTTTTCGTGGCAAATTACTTCTCCCCACCCCCCCTCCCACACAAACACACACACACCCCACACACCCTCCCACCAATCGCTGAGAAGGCAGAGACGATTACGTGTTTCTCAATGATCAATCTGTGAACGCCGGTCGCCGTCGGCGCGGGAAATACTACTTTGCGAGCAGAGGTGAACAGATCACAGCACGGTACTCAAAAACAATCATACTTTTTAATATCCCTGGAATTTAGTTTAGTGGCAGCATACAACGCGGGTTTCATTAAAAAAAATCAGCCAGTTAAGAAGTGATATACGATCCGGTCAATGTAAGAATTCTAGTCTCAAACAAGCGTCAGGTCCGTTAGGGGAGGGTCCGAACTCCCCTGACCCTCCCCCTGGATCCGCCACTGGGTAGTTCTGTCAACCTTGTTACCAGGTTTCTAGTTAACTTCCCTACTCGTCCCCTAGCCTGTTCACGGGCCCTCTATGTACAGGATACTCGTCTCACTGCTCCGAGGGACAAGTTGGAGAAAAGCCTAGGTACGAGGTTAATAGGTCAGTCGGTAAAGTTCCTTTTCTTTACTTTCACCAAGGACACAGTTGAAAATTGCGACATCACTGACCAACTTATTGGTGGTAATAAGTCAGCAGAGGATATGGATGATGAAGCGAAGAAACAAATGCCACTACTAGCATCAATATTGTCTCTGGTAACAGACTGATCAAAGATGAAACATTCTCCTCTTCACTTAAAGTTTTAAAAACACAGATGAAGAAATATGCTAAAAAGCTAACTAATAAAGTCAAAGAAGAAAGCCCAGCTGAAGCCGAAAATTTCAAGAAGAACCTAGAAGCTGCCTTGCAAAAAATCTTCGCAAAATACGAGCATCTTCAGTTCTTCACCGGAGCAAGGGATGAGTTTGAAGGTGAAGGTATGCTGGCCATAGCGGAGTATCGTGACAAGAAACCATTCATGTTATTTTTCAAGCACGGCCTCAAGGAAGAAAGAGTGGTAAGTTTATCGTCCTGTATTAAGACCTTTATTCAAATTTTTTTCTGGTTTGGTTGCCATTTTAAAGGACTTTTCATACCTGTTTAGCGCGAAATTCGGACCCCGCGATTCCACCGGTAACGTCAAAACCACGTTACGTCACGTCACGTCACGTCACGTTACGTCGGTAACGTGAAAATGTGACTACCTCATGCTAAAACCTTCACACTCTTAGTAACCAGAGAAGTTTTATGAGGAGACTAGTCTGAAATGACAGCCGTCTCCTCGCCCCCCCCCCCCCCCCCCCCCCCCCCCCCCCCCCCCCCCCC